TAAGCTTAAATGAGGTCATAGGGATGAGCCCTAATCCAATATGACTGGTGACCTTATAAAAAGAGGAGATTACAACACAGACATGCATGACTATATGAAGACACAGGGAGAAGATGGCCATCTACAAGCCAAGGACAGAGCCTTGGAAGAAACCCCTGCCAACACCTTGATCTCAGACCTCCAGCCTTCAGAACTGTGAAAAAATTTTCTGTCATTTAAACTACCCAGTCTATCGTATTATGTTATAGTAGTCCTAGTAAACTAATACAGAGAATATTGATATAGTGACACTTGAGTTTTCCTATCTACAATACAAACATAGGCTACCTCTCCACTTATACAGATCTTCAGTCAACAAAGTTATGTAATTGTCTCTGTAGGGATTTTATTATATGTAGCTTTTGTTAAATTTACTTTTAATTTTTGTTTTTATTCTCATTAATTCCAATATTTTCTGTAGATTTTTACAGCATCTATGTAAATAATTATATCATCTAAATAATGACAGATTAACTTTCTTCTTTTCTATCCTCATAATTTTGATATAATCAAGTAGAAGCACTGAAGGCTGGTATTCTTGTTTTGACCTTCATCTTCAAGGGCATGCTTCTGCAGTTTCAAGGAGATATGTATATATATATATATATATATATATATATATATTCCCCCCCCCACCCCTCAAAGGGGCGTTGCCACCTGGCATCCTGCAGCACATGCTCAGTAAATCCATCTCCAGCCCCCTCTTTCTCTGGCCCCTTCTTGCTCCTCTCCCTCCATTATAATCTATCTGTCTTAAAAATAAAGCGAGGGCTGGCCAAGTGGCTCAGTTGGTTAAGAGCTCACTCAAGAGTGTGAGCTCTGAGCAACAGGGTCGCTGGTTCCATTCCCAGCCCAAGCTGAGCTGCTGCTGAGCTGCCAACAGGTGGCAGGATGGCTCAGCAAAAAAAAAAAAAAAAGAAAGTGAGTTAATGTAGCGATTCACACTAAGATGCTGATGTCTGATCATTGATCATATGGCGCATTCACATTTTGGGCTAAAAGTCTAGGCAGAAGGACTAAATGTGACCATTGGGGGCTTGAGTGTTGACATCTCTTCAGATCCCAACAGTAATGGAAAATATCACTGGGCCCCTTTTCAACTCCCTTTTAAAAATACCACTTCTCTGACGCTTGCTATCTGGGTACCCAGGTCAGACTAGCTCAGACGGAACCAGGAGAAATTCCAAAGGATGGGGACTTGATATGTCCCCTCATTTTAATCAAACTACCCAGGTTGACACCCAGGTTGCACCGCTTAGTCACATGGCCTTGGGCAAGGTGCTTTTCTCTCCTGCCTCAGTTTCCTGACCTGTCAAATGGCACCTCTCCATGAGTAGGATTAAATGAATCATTGATATAACACACAGTAAGCACTCAGTACATAGTAACTAAGCCATGGGTGGCCACCTTCGCACTGCCCTTCAGTTACTTAGTGGGTTTTTACATTTCTTTTCTTTTTCCTTAAAATCTCAAAATATGGTATTTAAATATTACTCTATCCCCCGTATGTTCCACCCTGCGGCCTGGCACAAGAATACCGCTCTAGTTCATTGTAGAAGTTCATGCAACCCTGCCCATCAACAACCACATTCCCACTCTCCTTGTCTTTTTTCTAGTATTTTTTTCTAGAGATGCCCGAGTGCGGGGGAACCCCAGGCAGAGCCTGGCTTGCCGCCCCACCTCTCAGAACATCTAGTGTTATGCCGGGGACTCGGGAGGCCTGCTGAGGTTCATGATTAATGACATGCATGGCAGAGTCGCAGGGAGTGGGGTGGCCTCATTTCTTTTCAGTAATGCCCATCAAGCAATGAGGTCGCCAGACTGTAATCTCTGGGAGGGCAGAGAGCTGCCGCTCCTATTCAACATGTAATTCCAATGCCTGGCACCATGCATGGTACGTACCAGGCGCTTAACAGATAGACACAATTTATTGTAATTCTCCCTGCGTCCAACCCCAGTAAGGCCTAAGGCAGGCTCTAGACACGCAATAGCCAGCTCATAAATACTGGTGGGTGCCCGGAGTGGTGGCTGTGCTGTAAAGTCAGTGCTAGCCTCCGTGGGCCAAGTCACCGACAGGTCCCCCTGTCTTACAATACTCTTCTGTTATGCTTGTGTGAGTTCACACGTCGTCAATTAACTGCTGCAGAGATAGTTAAATCTCAGGACAAATATGGCTCTGTGCGCTAAGTAAGATGTTTTGCCCAGTCGTAAAGTATGGGTGTCACTGTCATTCTCAGCAGCAGCGAGCGCGTTGCGGAGCTAAGCCAGGCAAGGCTCTGTGCAGGTGAGACGGTACCAAGATGCACAGGAGGCCAGCCTGGCCCACGAGGGAGCTCAGTGAGGCTTTGATGAGGAAACAGAAGGCGACAGGAAGAGACAGAAGAGCAAAGGCCAACTCTCACGTTTGCCTCTACCTTTTAGAAAATCAGGTGCTTCTGGGACTGCAGGAAACCACCATTAACGATCTCAGCTGCCTTTAGCACCAAGGTCAGAAACTTTCAGGGGACCACCAGCTACATATGAGCCTTCATAGTCAGAGGAGCAACGAAAACACTTCTGCGTCTCTTTCTCATTTCCTAACCTCAGGCAAATGCCTCTCATTGGTGGAATCCAACTGGGAGCACTGCCTGCAAAGGATTCTGGGAAGTGTGCTTCTCAGGGTTCCAATCCCTGATGTAAAGGTGGAGTATGGAAGGGATGTGATGATGCTTTGGTGTCGACAGCCAATCAGGCTTCTAAGTGTAAATTTAGAAAAACAACATTGGAAGGCAGTTCACCTTTGCTAAGGACCTGAGAAGCAATACAATCTGTGTTTAAGACTGTCGTGAGAGTTGGAGTCTTAGAAAAAAGGTTTGGACAGAGTCAGAACCTAAGGCAAGGCTCTGTGGAACAGATAACGAAAAAGAGGCACAGGACCTGGAGGTGAGTACGACACTTATTCACTCGCTCCCTCGTGCGTTGAGTTTTCTTTTCAGTACACGTTTATTGCTAAGCCTTGAGCTAGGTGCTGGGGCTCCTACAGTGAGGACTCACTGATTGTGTTTAGGAAGGAAATTACATGAAGGGATTTTTAGTGCAGAGAGATCATTTTGAAAATGCATGTATGACAGGCAAAACTGAAAGGACATGCACTTCAGTACAAAACATCGAATGAAAAATGTGTGATGAATTTCCTCCATGCTGTTACCAATTTGATCTTTCTGGTAAGCTCTTTCTTAAAAAGCTTGCTCTGGATGGTGAGTCAATGCCATTTTCTTTTCTAAAGCTTTCAGTAATGTCCAAATGCCCCACTGTGGGCCAAGGGTCTAAAATTTTGATCCGCACAGTCAAGATTTGGAGACAGGAAATAGGGAGTGGCCTATTAAGAATATATACACAATGCATGTATATTAGTTTTTAATCAGAAGAAAAAAAACCATAGAGCAGGCATCATATCTGCCTTATTCGCAGCTGTTTCCTAAGCACATTGGCCACTTCATAAATATTGTAGGATTGAATCAACAATGGCTTTAAAGGGTGTAAAACTGGAGACAGGCAGATTAGTAAGGAGGCAATTATGATAGTCTGGACCAGAGCGGGAGAGGGCCTAGAGATAGGGCAGAGCGATCGATGAAGGGGAGAAAACAGCCCATGGAGATGTTGTGGTATCGAATCTGCAGAACGTCGTGACTTCTTGGATTTATTCAGCAAGGAGTAGAGGTTTGGGGAATATTTTGAGGTAGAACTGACAGGACTTGCTGATGGAGTAAATGTGGGGGTGATGGAAAGAGAACTCTCAAGGAGGCCTCAAGAGTTTCTGTCTTGAGCAGCTAGATGTATAATAATACAATTTCCTGAGACGGAGAAGGCATTTTCAGGAGGAAGAATCAAGAATTGCAATTTTGGATGAGAAGTAAGATGGGTAAGAAATGTAGGATGGATCCCAGTTTTTGGCATGGGGGTCATTCTCTAAGGCAGGAAATACAGAAGGTAAACCAAACTTGGGGAGAAATATGAATCCCGTTTTGGACATGATGAGCTGGAGGTGTCCACTGAGATATCTAAGACATCCAATGAGATTATAGGGGTCTAGAGTTTATGAGAGATTATTGAACAGAGACAGAAATGCAAACTTTGTCCTGGTGGCTGAAGCCATCAGGTGAAGGAAAACATGCATAAAACGAGAAGGGCAGAAAGACACCAACATCAAAACCCTCAGGAAACATATTTATGGATGAAGAGATGTCCTTAGAAGGAATTGTCAGAGTGAGGCTATCAGGTTATATGAAACAAAGGAGTGCCATTTTGATCAAAGCAAGAGTCCAAAGAAGGGAGTCATGCAGTGGAGTGGAAAGCAGGGGCCAGAGGCTGGAGGTCCTTGGATGAAAGTAAAGCAGCTGGCTATTTATCCAGTGCCTTTATGGTCAGTGGGGAAGACAAATGTGTATGTGTTGGCTGTACCTGGCTGAGCCTCCCAGCCCTGCAGGGGAATTGAGAAACACTGTGGGCCAAGGGTCCAGAGTTTTGATCTACACGGTCAAGATTTGGAGACAGGAAGCAGAGCATGGCCTGTTAAGACTATATTTCTCATCAAAACATATGTCCTCTACCCCAAGGCACCACTGACTTGAATGAGCTGGATTTTAAACCCAGAATTTCAAAGGCCATCATTATTTTTGCGTGGTTTTTACAGCCATCCCCTCAGCAATGACAAAAGACAGAAAATATCCCCCAGGAATCCTCTTGGTCTAGCCAACCCCAAAACCAACCGCAGCCCATCCAATAGCCTCTATGATGAGCCTCTGTTACACAGCCTTGGCGCCACACGAACCATGCGCTCATTTATGTTCCAGAAGGAAAAAAATCAGAAAAGTGCAGGAAAATGTCTGTCCTCCTTTCCACCACAATGTTCCAGGAGAAAATGGCCTGGGGCCAGGGGAAGCCAGGCATCATGACTCTTTTAAAAACCCTGGCAGTCTCACCTTCTGCCATACCGCTATGGTTTGGGGAGAGGTTTAAAGCTAAGCTTCAGAAACAATTACATGTGAAGGATCTGGCTAAACATAACCACAGAGGGAGACGGAGACAAGTTGGGTCTTTGCAGACGGTGTGGGGTGCCTGGTGAGTGCATGAACCTGGTGTACGGGAAGGCACCTCAGCAGATGCCTTGGTGGGCGGCATGTACTAGGGAGCGCGCTGCTACAGGAGGATGTGCCTGTCTGTGTGGGCTGCAAAGAGGAATGGCTGCTCAGGCTGAGGCCAAGAGCACCAAAGATGGCTACCCTGGCTGTGTACCTCCAAACGTCTGCATGAGACTGTGCTCGGCAGAAACACTTTGCAGGCACACACTGTGTGGCTGCTTTCAGAAAGCCCTAAGATTCCAGCCACTGACAGAAGCCAGCAGCTGCAGAGACTTGGCTGGGAGATGAGTTGAGCTGGTCTCTTGCCCTCAGAGAAACAAGCTGGCCCTGGTGTATTAATCTGAATAGTATCATCATCAATGACGAGGTGATGCCCATCCTCTCTGATTGTCCCCGGTATGAAAACTAATATGAGTTGGAGGGCAACCTATCGCTAGAGAGGGGTGAAGGATAACTAAACGAAGCAAAAGGGGGAAGGAGAAGCCTGTAAAAGGCCCGGTGGTAGCTGTGGCGCCCCGCACAGTCACATGGATTCTGTAATATGAGCCTGCTCTCTGCTTCATCACATCAGCTTTTCCTACTGAGTCACCCTTTCCCTTCATTACTGCCAATGCTCCCCGTCTTCCAGAAGCGAACCCCTGTGGTTACTGAAAGCATGAGGCTGAGGTTTGTTACAGAATCCCAGATCAAATCAGAGAGGGAGACCCTCGGCCTGACATCAAACCTTAAAGACAGACTTGAGATGAATGAGAGGCCAAGTCGAATCGCTACTTTGCTGATAACCATAATCTGCAAGGTATCACCAAATATAAGCAAACTCCATTCATGCAAACACTTACTGAATGCATACTGTGTGCTAGGGACTATTCCATGACACAAGGACCTGGTTTGAGGTGTCACCCACCCCAAGGGCACCCACCGCCCTGCACTAGGCAGCCACGCATGTGTGCCAGCAGGCCTCTGGTTCCACAGGTGTCCGTGTCACCTCAGAGAACCTCGCAGGCAAGAAGGGAGCAGTGCCTGAGGCAAGCCCAAGGAACTGTCTCACTGCACCTGAGCTCAGCTCTTATAGTTCAGTATTTTTTACAGCAACTTTTTCCTGATTTTTGAACAAGGGGCCCAACATTTTCATTTTGCACTGGGCCCTACAAATCATGTAGCCTGTCCTGCCTGTTACTTTTACAAAGGAAACAAACTCAATCGCAAACACATGTTCTACCTGATGATAGGCAACATGTCAACGTGATCTCTTACTTGGAGGACAAGTGTGTGCTCCCAGTTTGCATCAGGCCTGTGTGGGAACCCAGCAAGGATGGCCCTGCAGGCTTTGGAGCTCAGATGTGCTGTATTACTGCCACCTTGTGTTCAATTTGTGCACAACAATCGCTCCAGGAGGAGACTCCCATCCTAGGCAGAGGCTGCTAGCTGGGGCACTTCCAGACGTGCATGCTAAGGCCACCCACACTCCACAGCCAAGCTGGCACACCAAGAGAGTTACTACTCAGCTGGTGGTGATTAATGAAGTCAGACTACCCATCATACCATTTCAGAGCCAGAGTTGAAATGTGCATGTGTGCATGTGTGTGTTTGTGCATGCATATGCATGTGTGTGTGCTTGTGTGTGTGTGTACGTGCGTGCGTGTGTGCATGCATATGTGTGCATGTGTGTGCATGCATGTGTCTCACTGCCTTTCTTCCTTCTCGTGTTCTTTTCCTTCAGTCCCACCTTCCTCCTGTTTGTAGTGCCCCTCATATCTGACCTCACACATGGACTACCGAAAGCCCCAGATGTCTGGTTCTTTTAAGGCAAACCATATCCAGCCCTCCATAGGTGGGAGGCCTAGGCCTGGAGGCCCTCCTGGAGAACCCGTGTTGTGAAGCAGTGCAGAGGCCAAGTGGGGAGAGCAGTCAGATACTAGTCAGCCTGGGCCAGGCAAGGGCTCGAGCGACAGGTGCACAACCAAGTAAATATTTTACTGTGCGCCTCCCAAGGGCTTCAGCCAAGGGGGCCCTGTTATTTACCTGTCACAGAATAATAAAAAGGAATGATTAATTAATGATCTTAAAAACAAAACAAAACAGGAGTTAAGGAAAGGACTGATCCTGTATGAGGTATAGATTAGGTGCCGAAGAAACGACGACTTATCAGCTTATTGGATGGTAGACACAGAGGCGTCAGAGAAATGAAGCCCAAAGTGGGAGTGAATGACCTAGTGATAGATATGAATAACGAGCATCCTGAGTTCTTAATTTCTCCCACTTTGTCTAGGGTTGTGACTAGGCCTGTTGCCAAGGACAGCGACCACAGCGGGACTCTTTACTTTATGCCCCTTGAGAAACACATTTTAAAGATATTTTGGGTGAAATAACAGAGAAATAAAAACAAGAACAGGTTAATATTTTTAAATCAATTTCAACATGTTTGTCAATCTAATAGTAATACATGTAAATTATGGGGAAATTGGAAAAATTTAAAGAACATAAAAATAACCAGTAATCTTCTCATTCACCTATTACTCTTAGTATTTGAGTATATTTCATTTTAGCTTTTTATCTATCTAATCTGCACCTATGCCTATATCTGTAAATATGTATATTTACAATTTTGGAACCCACCAGATTTTTAAAAGAAGAATAAGAACACGTTATTGCTGAATTCATTTAACTCTCCCTCTACTGTTAGACTTTTAAGTTATTTATGTTCTTTTTTTTTTTAAAGATTTTATTGGGGAATCGGGGAAGGGGAACAGACAAGTTGCTGTCCTTTTGTTCTTCAGTCTAGTTGTAGAAGACGTTGTTTCACTGGCCCAAGTTGGCACCATCATTGGTCTCTTCCCGGGCGGGGCAGATCAGTCGCCGGCTTCTGGACAGCTGCTCACTGCAGCTGCTGGCCGCTCACGCTGGCTGCTGGCTACACACGGTAGCCCATGGTAACCCACTGAAGCAGGGACTGCAGCCTACGCCGTCGCAACCCAGGGCAGCCCAGCCCCAGGTCGAGCTGTTGTTCAGCATCTTAGCTGTAGAGGGCAGTGTCACTGGCCCTCATGTGGGATCCGAACCGGGGCCCTCTGGCGTCCCAAGCCAGTTCTTAACCATTGCGCCACTCCGCCGGTCCTATTTGTTCTTATTATAAGTTATCCCATGGTAGGTGTCTTTGTATACAAATTTTGGAGTTTCTCAGTATTTCCTTGGACTAGATTCCTAAAAGTGGCAAGATGGCCAATAGATAAAAAACATTGAAAAGACTCTTGACAATTGCTTTGTAGACAAATTATGCCAATTTATATTTCTACCACCAGAATGTGAAATTACCCAGTTCTCCACACCCATGAGAACACTGGATTTTTAAAAAAACCTTTGTTACTTTGCTAGATTAAATTATGTCATCATTTTAATTTGCATTCTCTTGGAAAGTAGTGAGGTTGAATACTTGAAATGTTTTTAGACATTCTGAGACTTGTTTACTGGGATTTGGGTTTAAAAACATATTCATCTTTATTAAGGCTTATTAACATTTAACTCTTAATTTACCTAAAATTTATTTATTTATTTATTTATTTCCTTCCTTATTTTTTAAATAAGGCAGCCTTACTAAGGATGCAGCTTCTCAAGGACAGAGAATCCTAAACAAGTATTGTACGGCTTCCTCTTTACCCTGAAGACAGTTACAGCCTTCTAATCTGATTCTTATGGAGACTGAAGGAGGTAATGTATATCAGGCTTTGCGTTAGACATTAAGGGCAGGAATATTACAACTGCAATGAACGTTTACTGAATCTATATTCTATAAAATCTATAATTTAAAATTATAAATAGTAGGCATTCTAAGCAGGTTTATTACAGCTATTGTTATTAATCACATATAGATGATAATGGTCCCAGTTCTTAGAAAGCCAAAGTGTCAATTATTTCAATTTTCAAAGTAGGTATTACACAACTACCATTTAGAATGAATGTGTGTGTGTGTGTGTGTGTGTGTGTGTGTGGTACATATACATATATAATAAATCTTATATATATGAGAGATTTATTATAAATAACTGGCTCACACAATTATGGAGCCTGGCAAGTCCCACGATCTGCAGGGTGAATTGCCACAGGGGAGGCCCAGGGAGCCAACGGTTTAGTTCCAGTCTGAGTCTAAAGTCCTTCGAATCAAGAACGCTGATGTTTCAGCTCAACTCCAAAGGTGGGCAAAAAGGTGATGTCCTAGTTTGCAGACTATCAAAATTTATTTTGATAAATGGCAAGAGGTAAAAATATAATTAAAACATTTCCTCAAATCTTTAAATAGTTATTCTAATACCACTTGTTCAATGATTTTTATGCTTCCTTTAATATATAACCAAATTGTAATTATACTGAGGTTTTCTTTCTGGCCAACCTATTCTAGTTAATTTACCTGTCTGTTGATTTTGTCACCAGTACCAAACTAGTTCAGTCATGCTTTATAACATATGGCATTTTAATATCTGGTAGGGCAAGACTATTAGTTTGGTTTTTCTTCCACAAATCTCATATATATACACATATATTTTATTAAGAAAAATCTCATTGAAGTATTGATTAAATTTGCACAAAATCTGTACATTAACCTACCAATAAGTTTTATAAGTAAGGATTCCATGACAGAAGTCAGGCCTCCTTTGTCCTTGAGCTATCATTTCTCCAGAGGACAGTGTGGACTGTGGGCCATGGCCCAGAACTAGCTCTGTGATCTTGGCAAGTCACCTAACCTCTCTGTGCCTCAATTTCATCATCTATACATTTGTTCTTATTGTCTTCTTAGGCCTAGAATCAATGTGCTGACTAGAACAGTCTCTCACAATCAAATCTCAAAACATCTAACTTAAATTTTACTGTTCACCCAAAATACCTTTTAAGCCTCCAAAGGAAAGACTATATGGAAACATCACAGGCAATATAAATGGCAATGGTGGATTTCTCCACCTATATCACAATCTATAATTGAAATAGGCATCAGAAGGTCAGGGGTTTGTTTTTTTCCGTCACCCCACCTCGCACACACATACACTGTGGTATAGAACAGGCACTTAATACAAATGTGTTGATTAGATAAATGAATGAATGATGATGGTTCTCCCGATTCTAGAATTCCAGGACCGTAAAGCCAACAGCCTTACCCACATTCTGTCAAATGGCCCAGGAGAACTGCAGAGTCCTTGGAAGAACTCAAGGTAAAGTGAGCCTTCTTTTGGCCTTGCCATGCTTCCCCACACACTAACGAAGGAGGGTGCGTTGGGGGAGGACTCAGGCTGTTTTATAAAACCAACACAATTAGTTAAAGAAGACCCTGGAGTATTACGTCACTGTCTCTGAGCTTCCTATCTTACCAGTCATTAAAGTGCTTTAATCTCTTCTCTTAAAGTGAAAAACAGCCTAGTAAGATAATAATGCTATTTCAGATAGTGTACACACATGATCACAGCAGCATTATTTACAATAGCCGAGAGGTAGAAGCGAAGCAAGTGTCCATCTACAGAAGAACAGAGAAACAAAATGTGGTCCAGCCATACAATGGAGTACTTATTACTCAGCCATAAGAAGCAATGAAGCACTGATACATGCTACAACATGGATAAACCTTGGAGACATGTTAAGTGAAAGAAGCTAGTCACAAAGGGACCATGTACGATTCCACTTATATGAGGTCATGGTCAAACTCATAGCGACAGAAAGCAGAATGGTGGCTGCCAGGGCCCGCGGGTACAGGGGAACGGGAAGTTATTGTTTAATGGGTACCTAGTTTCAGTTTGGGAAGATTAAAAGTTCTGGAGATGGATGGTGATGATGGTTGTACCGTAATATGAGTGTACTTAACGCCACTGAACTGTACACTTTAAAGTGATTAAGATGATAAATTTTGTTGTGTATATTTTAAAACAATTTTTTTGGTAATTACTAATGTTACTTAAAGATGCTTTCAGAACTAGTTTTACAGAAAGGAAGCAAAAAGCCACTGTGCCAAAGTTGTGCATTTCACCCGTTTCCTACAGAAGATGACCCACAACATGGGAAGGGAGAAAAAGGCATTAGATGGGCTAGAATTAGAATAGATGCCTGCCTGACACTGGTCCAGGAATTTTCTGATTGTACCATGACAGGCACTTATGCTGTCCTTTCCTGCCAGCTGGCCTCAGTCAGTCCCTCCCTAGTCCATTAGGCATGGTCCAATAAACTTGGAACTCTAAAGAAAAAAGTCTGCATTCAGCTTCTCTTCCCACGAAGCTCAACGATGTAGATGTAAATAGCACATGAGTATCTCCTCATTTCATCCATCAACATATCTAAGATACAGGTCTTTGCTAAACTAACATATATGCCTTGATAGCCTAACATATGCGCCTTGATAGCACTTGCCTTACATTCATTCATACAAGGGAAAGGGGCCCCTCACAGGGTTCATTCCAGACCAAGGACATCCCTACGAAGATGACCTGAAAGTTTCCTGTTCTACAGACTTAAATCAGCAGCTTTTAAATGGCAATGCTCTCCCTCCAATACAGTACATATTTAAAATAATATATATCCAGCCTAGACATAAATGGGAATTATCTTTATCATCACCACCATCAACATAATCATTATCACCATTACAGGAAAGGAGGTGGGTAGGATCTAAGGCAGCTTAAGAGTGTGTAAGTGATGGGAGCAATAAAGTGAGGAGCTTCTGACTGCTCCTATCAACACTACGCTCCCAGGTTTGCAATTTGCCCAAATTCCGTGTAAATACTGTGAACGCAAATCCAATAACTAAATCCTCCTTCCCGTGGGCGAAAGACCCGCCCGCCGCCATGCCCCGCCCCCTGCGGCTCAGACTCCGCCCCCACGGGTCCGTGCACTCGGCAGTGTCAATAAAGTTGCCGTAGTTTGACGACGGCGTCGGACAACATGGCGGCCTCCATGCTGTGCTCGCTGCTGCGGACTGTCCGACAGGTCAGACCCGCGCTCTGATCCCCACGCCTCCCCCCCCCCCTGAGTCCCCAAGCCCGCGGGTCCCCCACGACGCTGCCTCCTGTATCGCCCCGTACGGACCCGTCCCAGGGGTTCCCTCCGCCCACTTTCCTCCTCAGGTGATTCAGGGAAGGCCCGAGCTGCTGATACACATTTGTGATTCGTAAACGCATGACTGACTAGCATTGAAAGCTGCAAATTGACTCCGGTTTATAAGGAAGCGAGTGTTAAGTGGCGAAGAGAAGGGATCCGAGGATTGAGGCCCCAGGGACTCCAACGTTAAGAGATGCGAGTCGAGCAAAGGAGCCTTTAAAGGAGCTCAGCGAGCGAGGAGGAAGGCCAGGGACTGGTGGCCTGGAGGCAGGCGAGGACAGTCTCAAGGAGCAGGGCGTGGCAAACTGTACTCCAAGGTGACAGCTCAATTAAAAGGCGGGCTGGGAACTGGCTGCTGGATTTATTAGCATAGTGGAGGCTGTTAGGACCTTGATCATACAGCACTTTCAGTGGCGTGCTGGGGACCTAAGTGCGCACCAGAGAATGGGAGGCAAGACAGTGGAGGCTAGGAATACAGACAAAACATTGATATTTTGCTGCAAAGGAGGGCAGAAAGATGGAGGGGTAGTGGGTGCTGTGTGTGTGTGTGTGTGTGTGTGTGTTAACATGACCCAAGTAACTACATGTTTTTGTGGGAAAGGGAAAGATTCTGTAGTAGTGGGAAAAATGGATGACGTAGGAGAGGGAAGACTCTTTGAAGCTCCTTGTGTGGCTAAGAGGTGATGCGTCTCACGTGCGATTGTTTGGTCTCACGGACACAAACACCTCATCTGTAACAGCGGTCTTGTCCAATAGAAATATAATGCCAACCACATATGTAATTTAAAAGTTTCTAGCAGCACATCAAAAAGTTTTTACAATATGAAATTTTAATAAAATATTTAACTCAGTATATTCAAAATACTATTTTAATATGTAATCTATAAAAAGGATTTATGAGATATTTACATTATGTTTTGCATCCTAGATCTTCAAAATCTAGGGAACATCTCAGTTTGGATGTTAAATTGTCCACCATTAAAACAGAAACTGTAGTCCTCCCAAAACAATAAAGTTGGTTAATATTTACAATGCTTCAGTTTAGAGTTTTAAAATACATGACATCAGGCATTACGTTTTCCAGTTGCCCTAATTTCAAGTGCTCACTAGCCATGTGTGCCCAGTGGCTGCGACAGTGGACAGAACGCATCTCTAATTACAGGAGGGGATGAAGAGCACCTGACTACAGGTGCTGGCAAGTGGGTAGATGCAGTAGTGGGAGTTGATGGCAATTCCCTTCTGATTGCTTCTAAGTTCATAATTAAAGAACAAGTCATCAGCTGAGTGTGAGGATGTGGGAGCAGGAGTCAGGGGTTTAAGGAAAAAGAGGAGATAGTGTAAAATTGTCAGGAGTACACAGGAAGAAGAATGGCAAGAAATGGAGCAAGTATGGTGGAGTGAGAGCTGCCAGGGAGTTGAGGGTGTATGCAAGTCAACATTGTATTTACAGACCACGGAATTCGGGCTGGGTAAAGGGGAGACAGGAAATCAGAAGCTGAAACAGTGAAAAGCTGGCAGGATCAATGGATTAAAAGTCCTAACGGGGTTGCTAATTGGGGTGTGAGAAGGCGCAAGGTAGAAAGAAGTGATAGAGAATGAGATACACAAAACTGAGGTAATAGAAATTATTAATTTTTACCACTTACTAAGATGTGGTATTAATTACCACTTATTAGTAATAAAAGACCTAGTGCATAGAAGTGAATAGGTGCAAAAGAGTGGGAGACAAAAATCACTGGAGGAGAGGAGTTCAAGGAATGGAAAGATCAGGGTACAACTTCATGTATATTGAGATCACCAGGAATTAAGACAGGAAGAATACTGGACAGAGTGACAGTGAGCCACGATCTAAATTCACCGAAAAATGAAAGGGAGTGGCAGGGGCTGCGGTAGATGCCTGCAACAGTGAGGGGTGGTGGGAGGTAGAACCCGACAGCGTGAGGCAAAGCCTAGTTTCAGGAAGGAAAGGGTCTGGAAGCGGCAGGGAAGAGCAAGGAATACCCCTACCCCGCCTCTGCCCCCAGCTGTTGGAGAAAAAAGCTGCGGGAGAAACTTTTAGGAGCGATTTAAAATTCAACTAGAGCAAAAATCTGAAGGAGATATCAAGAGAAGAAATTGAGGATTTAGGCGATTTTGATGGTAGTAGACCATGAGCTGAAAAGGGCCCAATGGAAGAGTTTTAGGAGGTGAAGAGGAATGCGGGGCAGGCTAGAATGCACGCAACACAGAATAGACGGTGATCTTATGTGTAAAGCACTGTTATAAACTGATGAGAAGATACTGACAATATAATAGAAATACGGGCAAAGGATATAAAACATTCACAGAAATAATTAATTTAAAAATATTGCTTTTATAGTCAAGAAAAAAGTTACACAAAAAAGAATGAAAGTTGTTTTTTTTCTTAAATAGAAACCTGTTAGGACATGGAAGAGAGGAAGTTGATTAGGAATAGTCTGAAAAAGACCTGAAGGCAAAAATGTTTGTTTTTTAAGTCTCTTTAACTTTCAGTTTCATAGGTAAAAGCAAACCTTGCATTGCCCCTCAACATGAATTTACCCAGAATGATCTCCCCTGAGCTTATAAATATATCTTGTTCATTTCCTTGTTTGGTTTGGACAAACTTCACCTTCTCTTCTCTCCCCAACCCCCCAACTGTATCAAAATTTGTCAGTCCTTCAAAGCCCTGCTGAAGCCCCTTTTCTAACGACACTTATTTGCAGCCATGGTGACCATGGTATTCATTTGACTCATTCATGTGTCAAATGAGTATTAAAATTCCGGTCATGTTTTTCTTATTTCCAAAAGGTGACTAGAATTACTGTATTTTCCCATGAGACTTTAGCATTGAAGTCACTGAGTTTATCTTTTTAATCAATTGAAAAACTATTGGCTTTCTAGTATAGTATTCTCATTTTGAGTTTTATATTCTGTATAATGCTGTATATACAGTTCTATGAACAGCTGTTATTGGAAGTCATTATTTTCTGTAGCTGCAATTTAATTGACATGTAATGTTCACTTTGGTTTGGGAGGTACTTGAGTATCTAGTGGCCTATACTCTCGATGCCTGTCCTGTCAGTCAGAACTGTAGACTATGACCATGTAAACGTGTGACCACAGGAGCCTACTGCCTTATTACTGGACAATTCATGCTAAGAAATAGTAGGTCAGTGATCATTTCAGAGTACCCTTTGACCCTGCAATTCTGCTTCCAAGAATTTATCCTGCTGATTTACAGGAATACATATGAAATGTTATTCACTGCAGCATTGTTTATAATGATGAATGGTGAGGGATGGTCTAGCTGCTCACCAGTAGGTTGCAGATTAAATTATGATGCATCTCTGGAGAAGAAAAACATCATTCCCTTCTCCCCCTCTAAGTTTTTAGCTGGGGCCCCTGTAACAAAAGACAGACTACCAGGAGAAAAGCATACAAATGTGTAAGTTTTACATGACATGGGAGCCTTCATAAAGAAATGAAGACCTAAAGAGGCAGTTAAAGTTGAGTATTTTTTGCTAAGTTTGATAAGGAGTGGAGAGTCACAGGAAAATGTGATAGGCCAAAGGGTATGAGCTAAGTGTAAACTAGGGGAAACTTACCAAGGCTGGTTGGTTCACATTATTCTGTGTCCCTGCCTTCAGAGATAAGGACACTCCTCACCCCCACCCCCACCCCACCCCACTAGAGGGTCTTATGACCTGCTTCAGGGGAAGGTCAGAAAGTCCTGTCCCACCTGCCCGCCATTTTTCAAATTTCTTTTGCTTGCAACAGTCAGTATGCCAAGGTGCCATACTTTTTTTTTTTTTTAATTGGGGAATTGGGGGAAGGGGAACAGACAAGTTGCTGTCCTTTTGTTCTTCAGTCTAGTTGTGGAGGACGTCGCTTCACTGGCCCAAGTTGGCACCATCATTGCGCTCTTCCTGGGTGAGGCAGATCAGTCGCTGGCTTCTGACGGCCGCTCACGCTGGCTGCTGGCTACACACGGTAGCCCATGGCAACCCACTGCAGCAGGGGCTGCAGCCTAAGCCGTCACCGGCGACTCACAGCAGCCCAGCTCCAGGTTGAGCTGTTGTTCAGCATCTTAGCTGTAGAGGGCAGTGTCACTGGCCCTCATATATGGGATCCGAACCGGGGCCTTCTGGCATCCCAAGCCAGCTCTTAACCAACGTGCCACTCAGCCAGCCCAAGGTGCCATATTCTGAGACAGTATCTCCTGAGCCCTATCACATCCATACAGTGGAAAGTCATGCAACCTAAAGAAGATGAGGACGCTTTTTAACATATGGATATAAGACCATCTCCAAAATGTATTTTCAAAAACAAAGGGGGGAAGGATAAAGCATGAGACAGAATGTAAAATGTATTTGCATAAAAAAAATCTTTGGAAGAAACTAGTAACAGTGGACACTTTGGGAGGCGGACAGAAGTCACTGGGCACATGAGGGATGAGGTGGAAGGAAGACTCCACTGTATGTCTTTTTATACTTTTTTGCATTTTGAACCATATAACTATTAGTCTAAGTAAAGGTCAAACAGAATTATATGAAAAATCTCAGAAAATATTTCACCTTCTAACACATTATTGGCATTGTATTAATTCCCACCATTTGGGCTTAAGCTACATCCATAAAAGCTATTTATTCTGAATTAAGTCTATTTAAAATTATTAAAAATTTGGTCTTACTTAAGTAGTGACTGAAAGAGGATCAAAGGATGACGACAATGAGAAAGCCTGGATCTGACTATCCTTCACTTGATCCTTGTCTCTTTTAGATGGTTCCTTCATCAGCTTCAGGTCAAGTTCGAGGTTACTATGTAGACTGGAAAATGTTGCGTGATGTGAAGAGACGGAAAATAGCCTATGAATATGCAGATGAGAGGCTACGGATCAATTCACTCAGGAAGAATACCATTTTGCCAAAAGACCTTCAGGTTAGCTAATTAAGTCCCTATGTACCCAAGATTATTAACTCATAACAGATCACTTTTGATACTGTTTGTTATGACTATCTGTAATTTTTGGAGAATATGATCAAATACTTCCAGGCAACACAAATGAATACCCTTGAAACTGGTTTTGGTGAGTTTCAGTTTAATGAGAACTATTCATTCCTAACAAGCCTTTTAACCATTTGATCAGGCGATGCTTAGAAAGTACTGGGGCATGATAACCACACAGAAATTGGGCAGTTATTTTTATCTCAACTCTCTCCCCCACTTTATCTCAACCTTTCAATGCTCAAGGCATTGGGAGGCTTTGCTGATGCATGGGACCATGTGTTCCTCACCCAGTGCCATTCCTAGCCTGCCAACTAAACTCCTCTGCCCACCCACCTGTGTGTGCTGAGGTGGCTTTCAATTTAGGTTTACTTTCTTATCAGACTCCTTACCTCGAATAAAAGGATGTCAACCCTGTTTTACTTCCTGAAGCATAAGGACCTGCACCTAACTGGTGGTATAGAATACCTGAACTCAAAAGTCTCATCAGGGAGTAACTCAAACTCAAGGCGACTCAACTTATCCAAAGCTCCGAGTAAAAATAAAATATCATTTGTAGAAATTGGCAGAATAATACACAGGCCATTCATTACTATGGATCCAGATTAAGCCAAATGAGCAATAAACAGTGCCCTGGACCACTCTGTTATGGCTTTTACCATGATGGCATTAAGGTCCTTACCTACTTTTAGAAAGTTAACAAGAAGTGGCACTCTCAACTCAAGATGTTGTGGAGGCCACTGTTTATGAAGACGCCCAGAAGAAACATACCTGGTATGAGAACCAGCAATAGCTGTGCAGAGACTGAATCGTGGGAACTGATCATGGCTCTGTGTTGCCTGCCAAGTAGCTCACAGGTCAAATTTATGTTCCAGTTCTAACCCACTTACAGGCTTTCAGAGCACATACTTTTGTCTTATTTCCCCTCTGCCCCAATTTCCTCATCGTCAACTGCCTTAAATATTTTTGGGAACAAGGAGGTGTGTGTGTGTGTGTGTGTGTGTGTATACACACACACACATATTATACATACATAAACATACATACTATGTACATCCATAAATAAATAATTTGCAGCTATTCTTTAGGTCTGCCTCCATGAAACCTGATTTCCTTCTTCCAGCCTGGTTATTTCTTCTCTCCTAGCTCCTCCTAAAGCATTTACTGTCTACCATTCATTGACTTAATTGTGTTGTTTCATATAATTCTCTTAAGTATTTCATAATAGCAACAGATGAATAAGGTTTTGTAGATCAGAAACTATTCTTAATGCTTACTATTTCTGTTAATGTAGTGGCTTTCATATGCATTTTCTCATTTACGTACTTTTAATATGTTAATTATTTTGCTTCTACCACAGTCTAGCACAGGGTCAGTCATACTTTTCAGATTAAAGTGAATACACACACACACACACACACACATACACACACACACACACACACACACACACACATTTTAAGCACATATGTAACAATAAATCTCAACTGACAAAACCGAGGCACAAGCTACTGCAGTAATCTCCATTTTCCTCCCCTCAGCCACTTTTGCCTTTATTAGATTCATTCTCTACATCACAAATGGCCTTTTAAATATGTAAATCTCATCTGATCACTCCTCTTTGCCTCTCCATCAGTCAGAATCCTTACCACAGATGTCACAAAGCTCTGTGGGATCCTACCTTTCCTCTTCAGCCTCATCTCTACCACATTTCCTCCTACTTCATCTTCAGCCCAGAAGTTTCATAGCTTCATGATTCAGATTGCATGTGGGAAATAGCCTAACTTGACACCTCAAAGAACTATAAAAAGAAGAGCAAACAAAGCCCAAAGTCAGCTGAAGAAAGGAAATAACAAAGGTCAGAGTAGAAATAAATGAAATAGAGACCACTTTGTCTTTGATCAAAGATCAATGCAACTCCAAGCTGATTTTTTGAAAAGATAAACAAAATTGACAAACCTTTAGCAAGCCAACAAAGTAAAAAAGAGAGAAGACCCAAAAAAATAAAATCAGAAATGAAAGAGGAAACATTACAACTGATACCAAAGAAATTCAAAGAATCATTAAGAGAATGATATAAATAATTACATGTCAACAAATTGGGTAACCTCGAAGAAATGAATAAAGTACTAGAAACATACAACCTACCAAAATTTAAAGAAGAATTAACACCTAACCTTCTTCTCAAACTTTTCCAAAAAATTGAAGAGTAAGGGACATCCCAAATTTATTTTATGAGGCCAAAATTACCCTGATACCAAAGCCAGATAAAGACACTGCAAAAAAAACTACAGGCTAGTATCCTTGATGAACATAATGCAAATGTTCTCAACAAAATACTAGTAAACCAAATTCAACAGCACATTAAAAGGATCATACACCATGATCAAGTGGAATTCATCCCTGGGATGCAAGGATGGTTTAATATATGCAAGTCAATAATGTGATACACCACATTAATAGAATGAAAGATAAAAATTATATGATCTTCTCAACAGATGCAGAAAAGGCATTTGACAAAATTCAACATCCTTTCATGATTAAAAACTCCTAACCAATTGGGTAGAGAAGGAACACACCTCAACATAATAAGCCCACAGCTAACATCATACTCAACAGTGAAAGGCTGAAAGCTTTTCCTCTAAGAACAGGAACAAGACGAGGTTACCCCCTCGCTCCACTCCTATTCAACATAGTATTGGAAGTCCTAGCCAGAGCAATCAGGCAAAAAAATGAAGAAAAAGGCATACAAATCAAAAAGGAAGAAGTAAAACTGTCTTTGTTTGCAGATAATATGATCTTATATATAAAAAATCCTAAAGAGTCCACCAAAAAACTGTTAGAACTAATCAATGAATTCAGTAGAGTTGCAAGATACAAAATCAACATAAAGAAGTTAGTTGCATTTGTATATACTAGCAAACTATCTGCAAAAGAAATAAAGAAAACAATGCCATTTAAAATAGCATCAAAACCAATAAATTACCTAGGAATAAATTTAAGGAGGTGAAAGAAAACTATAAGACATTGATAAAAGAAACTGAAGAAGACATAAATAAAAAGATATCCTATGTTCATGGTTCAGAAAATTAATAGTTAAAATGGCAGCACTCACAAAGCCATCTATAGATCCTGTGAAATCTATCAAAATTCCAATGGCATTTTTCACAGAAATAGAATAATCCTAAAATTCACAGGGAACTTCAGAGACCCCAAATCAATCCTGAGAAAGAACAACAAAGCTAGAGGCATCACACTTCCTGATTTCAAACTATTACAAAGCTGTAATAATCAAAATAGTATGGTATTGGCATAAAAAGAGAATCAAGAGCCCAGAAATAAACTCACACATATATGGTCAACAAACATTTTTAACAAAGGAGCCAAAAATACTCAGTGGGGGAAAGTATAATTTCTTCAATAAATGTTGTTGCAGAAACTGAATATTCACATGCAAAAGAATGAAATTGGACCCATATCTTATACTACTCACAAAAATGAATTTGAAATGGGTTAAAGACTTAAAAGTAAGGCCTGAAAATATAAAACTCCTAGAAGAAAACATGAGGAAAAAAGCTCCTTTTTCAATTTTTTAATATGACACCAAAAGCGCATGCAAAAAAACAAAAATAAACAAGTGGGACTACATCAAGCCAGAAAGCTCCCCACAGCAAAAGAAACATGAAAAGGCAATCTACAGAATGGGAGAAAATATGTGCAAACTATATATCCAATAAGGTGTTAACATGCAAAACATATAAGGAACTCATGCAACTTAACAGGAAAAAAAAGTAATCCTATTTAAAAATGGGCAGGGATACAGGTAACATAGTCAATACTATTATAACTATGTGGTGACAGTTACTAGACTTACTGTGGCATCATAAGGTACATAAATGTCGAATCACTATGTTGTACACCTGAAACTAATATTGTGTATTAACTATAATTTAAAAAAATTATTCCAAAAAACAAATGGCCAGAGAAACTGAATAGACATTTTCCGAAAAAAGATATACAAATGGCCAACAGGTACATGCATTGTTGGTGGGAATGTAAATTGATACAACCACTATGGAAAACAGGATGGAGTTTCCTCAAAAAATTAAAAATAGAGCTATCACGTATTATCCAGCAATTCTGAGTATGTATCTAAAGGAAATGAAATCACTAGATAGAGATACAAGAGATATCTGCACCTGTGTTCATTGTAGCATTATTCACAATAGCCAAGATATGCAAACAACCTAAGTATCCATCATGGCTGAATGTGATAAAGAAAATATGACACACACACCCACCCCCCAACACCAGCCATAAAACAAGGAAATCCTGGCCTTTCGCTATAACATGGATGTACCTTGAGGGCATTATGCTAAGTGAAATAAGTCAGACAGAGCAAGACAAATACTGTGATCTCACTTGTACTGTGGGACCTAAATAAGCAGAACTCAAGAGAAACAGAATGGTGGCTGGGGGTGGGGGAAATGGGGAAATGTTGGTTACAGCACGCAAACTTCCAATTTTAAGATGAATAAGTTCTGGGAATCTAATGTACACCATCATGGTGAATATAGTTAACAATACCGTATTATATACTTCCAACTTCTAAGAGAATAAATCTTAAATGTTCTCACCACAAAAAGGGAGTTTATGGAGGTGTTAACTAACCTAATTGTGGTAATTATTTCATGATATATTCACGTATCAAATCATCACAATGTACGCCTTAAACTTACATAATGTTATGTGTCAATTGTATCTCAATAAAGCTGGGGGAAAATCATAGGAGACAACAGAAATGCATTCACATGTTTTCCAAATGACTTAAACAATAATGTATGCTTAGCAGCCCTATTCGTAATAGCTCAAAACTATAAACTACCCAGATGCCCATCACCTGTACAATGGAAAAATGAATTATGGTATAGTCACACAATGAAATACCACCAATGAGAACAAACAAATTATGACACATGCAACACTATGGATGAATCTCACAAGCGTGTTGAATGGAAGAAGCCAAACAAATGGATAAAAAAGAATGCACACTCTATAAAATTCAAAACAAGGAAAGTTCATCTGTGGTGTTTGTAACCAGGTGGTTAGCCAGGAGGTCAGTGCCTGAAAAAAACCACAGGTGGGCCCTGGGGTGCTGGTAGCTTCTGTTTCTTAATCTAGTTGCTGGTTACACTGGCATGTTCTGTCTGTGAAGAATCACTGTACTTCACACTTATGGTTTGTGGATTCTCATGTTACGTTTCAATTAAATTTTTAAAAATCATACTGGGGCATGTCAAACATTTGTCATTTTTTTGGTCTGTTTGTTTCTACTTAGAGGTTAAGGTTCACTACCGTGCCCAGGGTTCTCTGGCCAAACTGGCTATGTTAATGAATCTAGCCCATGTTCTCTTCCTCTAAGCATGTTGTGATTTCCCTTAGGAAGTGGCTGATGAAGAAATTGCTGCCCTTCCCCGGGATAGCTGTCCTGTTAGAATCAGAAATCGGTGTGTGATGACATCCCGTCCACGTGGCGTGAAGCGGCGTTGGAGACTTAGTCGTATCGTCTTTCGTCACTTAGCCGACCACGGGCAACTGTCTGGGGTCCAGCGAGCAATATGGTAATCAGCTCCAGAACCCACGGAGCTTGCAGGGAAACCGGTTCTGACAAGAGACTTTTCTAATTGACTGAAACCTAGTTTTAATAGGAGTCCAGTATAGGAGTCTGGTCTACCAGATGTCTGTAAATTACTTTTAAATTTTCAGTGAAGAAATTTAGATGTTTTATTTTGTTGGTGAATTCTGGCTGTCAGTGAACTGTCTTTTCTGTTGGACTTAAATAGGGTTCCCATGCATGGTGCAGAGTAATAAAAAATATTTTCTGTGAAAGTATGCTCTGTATGCTTGCCTTTTTCATTTTTTAGCAACATATAAGGGTTCTTGAATTTTTAAGGCCATTATTTCTTCAAGCAGTATTATCTTAGTGAATCCAGCTCATGAACATGGAGCTCATCTATGGCAATTTGTAACGCTGGGCGGATTCCCAGACCTGCAGTCAGCTTTACTATTAGTTCATTGTTAGAGAAATAATACACTGAAAGGTGGAGCTAATGCCTGAATTATCTAATGCTCAGCTTCTTCATGTGACAGCTGAACAAAAGGCAGAACCACAGTTTTCTTGTTCCATCTTCAAGGGCCCTTAGAACAAAGCCCAGAAAACATCTATCCAGAGGAAAAGTTGTGTTGGAATAGTGTATATTCTCTGTATTCACGTTTGTCACCTGTTTAGAAATGAGTCAAGGTAGCAAAAGGTTGTCTCGTGCAATGATCGTGTGTCAGCCCAGTGATAAAAAGGTATAGCAGTATGGAAACACCTACTTGACATTGGGCAAGTACTGGAGTTGACACCTGTGCTTAGATTAGGAGGCAAGGAAAGAATGAGGTTCTTTGCATAGAAAACAGTGGAAGCAAAGGCCTAAGGCATCAAACTGAAACTGTAGGCACTTCAATGTATTAGAAATATGAAGCTAAGACAAGGGCCATATCATGGGAGATGTCATATATGTGAAGGAGTTGACTTACATACCAGCTGTTGGAGAAGTTTTAAGGAATGACATCAGCTTGCTCTACCCATGACTGACAGCTGCGTGCTAGATGGCCATTGGAGGAAAAGCCTACAAACTGGATAACAGGTTAGGATGTCTTAATTGTTTAGTTCAGGCCTGAACTAAGGTAGTGATATTAGCAAAGGAGATGAGAGGATATTTTAAAAGTATTATTTAGGGGAGAAAATTGGGCAAGACTTAGACTGCTTATATCTGAGAGCTACAGAGAGCTCTCTTGAGTTCCAGGTAAGGGTGACGAGGTAAGATGGCAGAAAGCAACTTCAAGATAGAAAATACGGTGAGGGGGAAAGAAGAGGTTTAGGGGAGATAAGATACGGAAGCCCAGGTTTGCCATGCAATGTTTGAGATGACTGTGTCATCCCAACAGAGAAGTCTAGCGAGCAGCTGGAGAACAGGGTCAGAAACTCCAGTGAAGGCAAAGTTATGAGAGGGGATTATGTTAAACCTTGGATTCGTATTTCCTAAGTTTATATTACAACTTACAAACTGGAATGCTCTACCTAATTCCAACTAGAAACTAATGGTCATTGAAGTACAACACATTTGCTGATTTCTGGCATATTGCTGATAGGACCCCTCCCCTGCCCACCACCACCTTTTCCTTTGTTTGATTCAGGGTTCAAGCATGATGCATGTATTTGGGTGCTTTGCGTGTCACTCCTTTTTGTCATTCATTTGTTGAAGTCATTAGTTTTGTCCTACAGAATGTGCAACGTTTGGCTGTTGGCTTCTTCATGAGTCCTTTAACTTATTCCTGTCCCTATAAACTGGTTGTTACATCCAAAGGCTTGACTAGATTCAGGTCCAATTTTTTTGGAATGAATTTTCACAAGTGTGCTGTATACTGTCACATCACATCAGAGGGCGCATATCTAGTGATCTAACTTTTAGTGATGCCTGATCAGTGGGTTCAGCCTGATCCCTGCATTTAAAGTTCACCGTTTAACCTGTCACCTATCATTGAGGATTGTGATGTTCTAAATGCCATCATTTTTCTGCATTAGCTAGAATTTTTCTATAAGGAACTTTTCCTTATGAACAATTTATTTCTCTGAAATACATTTCTTACAAAAAAGACCAAATACATGATTTTCTATCAATTTTCAGAGTAAATGAGTTGCTGCTCTTGCAATTTCCAAAGGTAACATGATTTTTCATGTCATTATGAACTTGTAGATTTTCTTCATTTTGGGCTTACTCTTCCAGTTGCTTTTTGAAATGTGAGCAAATACACTGTTCACATCTGCACCTTTTCTAACACTAAGGTATTTCACGCCCCTTAAGTAGCGTTCTGCACTGTGCTTTCCCACCAACTGTACCCTGGCTGTCACTGATACCAGTACACAGAAACCACCTCTTTTCATGACTGAGTACTCCCTGTGTGGATGTACCCGTTTACTCAGCTAGGCCCCTATTAACTGACATTAGGGTGTTCCGATCTCTTGTATCATTCCAATTTTTGCCAGCGTGGAAAGCCTAGTAGAATGGTGAGTCAGAGGGTAAATACATCCATAATTCTGGTAGATTACCAACTACCTTTCTATACAGGTTCCAACCTTGTTTTTCATTCCATTCCCATATGTGTATTTCCCTATACCCTAAACCACCAGTATGTTAAACTTTAGGAGTTTTTCCAATAAAAGGTAAGAAACAGTATGTGTTTTTCTTTCTTTTCTGAACAAGGTGAGAGCATCTTTTCAATTTTGGTATCCTCTTGCTATGTTGTTTTTGGTTATTGTGGAGTTTTTGCCATGTAAACATTTATTATGTAGTTAAAATTAGCAATTTTTAGCCTTATGATTTCTAGATTTTATGTCACATAATTGTTTTCCGGCACTCTTACGTTATAATGCAATTCTAGCCATGTCTTCTAGTACTCATATGGTTTCATTTTTACATTTAAAATTTAGATCTTTCATCTGTTTGGAATGTATCCATATGGTTATTTTGAGTTATCTTAATATCGCACTAACAGCCCATCTCTCCCACCACAGTCCTGAAATGCTATTATAGGCATACCTTGGAGATATTGCAGGTTTGGTTCCAGACCACCATAATAAAGCGAGTACTGCAATAAAGCAAGTTGCAATCTTTTTGCTGGTGGAGGGTTCTCGCCTTCAATTTGCAAAAAGTTCAACACCTGTGAAGCATAATAAAACGTCCATATGCCTTGTGTCTTCTGTTCCATTGGTCTGTTTATTCATTTGTCAAAATCACAGCTTTACTTACAGAGATTTAATAATGTGTTCATTATTTAGTAACGGCTCTCCTATTTTATAGGCTGTTTATGTTAATTTTTAAATGCTACCTACCAAATTTTACTCTACCACTTTTATTGAATTCTTACAGTAGTTTTGGTTAATCGTTTTGGATTTTTCCTCTATGTATTTAATTGCTTTCTGTTCTCTAAGTTGCATTGGCAAATGCCTCCAATTCAACACAGTAATGGAGGTCATACGCATCTTGCTCTTACTCCTAATTTAGGGGGAATAATTCCCTCTAAAATAATTAAATACAAGTCTGACTTTTCCTGGACAGATAGTCAAGTTATTCCAGTGAATAAAAACCTAACTTTACTGAACATGGATTTTCACATGTTTGATTTAGTTAATGCTTTTTTTTGTAAGCTATCTGACCCATGGCAAAACTTACTAATAGGTACTATAGTCTATTGTCATCAAGATTATTCTTGTCAAGATATCTACTCTTGTCAAGATTAGGCTTAGTTTCAATTTATTCAAATAGATTTTAACCTACAGAAAAACATTTGTGATTGGATTACTGGGGCATAGTAATGAATGGTATATGCATTACTTAAGCAGCTAGTGGAAAAGAGATCAACCTCTACAAGCAATCTTGAAGCACAGATACAAATTTGCATTTTATGCAAAAATTCGTTTTATTTTTCGTTTATTCTTACATTGGTGAGAGCTGACATCAGGAACTTAAAAACAAGCAATAACTTTTGTTTTCTACCTTTCAGCTGAAAAAAAAACTCACAAAGTGGCATTTTCATCAGGCAAGACTTGTTTCTTTACATTTCACGTGAGAAAGCAATATTACCCTTTCTTGAACAAAATCACCAGGTTACTAAGAAAACCGTCTTTGGAGGAAGTGTTTTATAAGCATATTTTATTTAAATAAATCCTCCAGTAGGAAATGGAAAATTCACTGCCTTTACTTAGAAGAAGCCTCTGTACAGTTATCTGTTTAATTTATCTGTGCAGCTCACCAACATGTCCTTACTGGAAACATCAATATTTCCATATCACAGTCCCCCAAAGGACTTTAGTCTCAAAATTCTGTGTCTCCTTTGGCTTGCTTCTCTCTTGATTCTACCCAGGCTTTATTAATGGTTCGCTTCATATCATCATCTCCATCTTCATAAATTTTCTTTAGAACATTCATCAATCCCTCACTAGGATCTGTTTCAGTGTCATAGGAAGGCTTTCTGTTAAAAAGAAAACACAATAATTGAGAAAGTACATATTATGGGGAAATATGTATGTATGTATATATCTCATTTACTGACGAAGTCTTATATACATGATTACTAAGTATGGAGAGATGCAAATCAGAGGTGTTCAATATTGGTAAAAGTGGAGGGGTAGAAATAAGGGGACAATGAAGAGTATCCAAAGATATTCACAATAAAAATAGCCTGCACAAACTCATCTTAATGAAGACAATATATACCCATACTTAGTGCACGAAAGAGTGGTCATCAAAATGGTTAGGGGATCTTGGGACAGTGGGATTTTAGGTGATTTTTAGCAGAAAAGGTAAGTAAATAAGCACTTTTTTCCCCGAACTGTCTTAATTTTTAAAAAGCATGCTTCCGGGGCCAGCCAAGTGGCGCGATGGTTAAGAACTGGCTTGGGACGCCAGAGGGCTCCGGTTCGGATCCCACATATGAGGGCCAGTGACACTGCCCTCCACAGCTAA